AGTTACAACAATATTTATTTAAATTAATAATTTTCATTTGCATAACAAAAATAATTAACATCAAGTCTTGATTTGCATTTAAAAGTGGCATAATAATTGCCTTTAGAAACCTGCACAATGTGCTGCTATTTCTAAGTTAAAATAGTTTGTACCAAATATGGAAAATTACAGATACATTTTTGATTTTAAAAAAATTTCATTTTAAATAAAATAACCTGATGTTATGCACACATAATTTTGTGTATGTAAGAAGTGATCAATGAGGTGATGGTGGAGATGGGAAAAGACTCAAACTCCTAATGTACCAAATGTGGATCCACTAGTGAATCGACATTTGGTGATTGATACAACTGGTGGTAGCAATCACCTCTTTACGTAGGATGGAAGTTTGTAAATATTTTTGAAAGACTGTCGAAGTCTTTGTAAATGTCAGGGTCATGATACCAGTTAGAATAGTTAGATCACATTCTAACTCACAATGAATTTTGCATTTGTTTCTGACTATCTGAGTGGTCTGAAAGTAGGAGATATACTCAACAGATTTCATGAGTACTTACTTGGGGAAGATGAAATTAGGAACTTAGATTAATTAAAACTTAATTTATTTAAAGCTAAACAATACCTATACAAGATTAATAATAAGTAAAAATAACAATAATAAATGAATAACTATACAATCTGTTTGGAGAGGTTTTTATAACAACTCAATATGATTTGACGAGTGAGAGAGTTTACATAAGAATATTAATTTGTTACCTGATACATAATATATCCTTGGAGATTGAAGTGTTGCGAGAACTTTACATTATCTTTGGAGATGAATGTGGAAAATTCCATGGCTTAACAATTCAGCACTTAATGAGGGCACCAAAATATGTGGGAATTAAGACTCAGCTAGGGATGTCATAGCTTAAGCAATAGACTAAAGAGTTGTTGATACTCAACCTAAGCATTGATTGAAGATGATCCTTCTCTTTTTATACCTATTAGTGGACCAATGAAATTGTCTGAAACTTTTGCAACGTTTCCGTCACTAGGGGAAATAAGGTGTCTCTGAGTCAATATCTAAGTGATGCATCTTAAACATATTAATCAAATAAATTCATTTGAAAATAAAATAAAAAAAAACTTACATCCAAAACAAAACCAATAACAATGCATTTTCTCAAATACAGTGGACGATCGGTTAACGAACAAATTGGATAACAAACACTTTTGCAAAAGATTTTTATGATTGGACAACAAACACTTCACTGAACAAACACAAGAAGAAATGATGTAAAATAATGAATACCGATTGGTCTTCCTTTGTCTTCAGGCAACAATTCGAAACTTTTCAGTGCGGGAGACGTCGACATCGACATTCTACCCAGTATATACTGATCGGATGGTATTCCACCTAACTTTGAAACTCTCCCTTGTAATTCCAGCCTTTTATATTTCTGACAAAAACAATTCTTTTACATTTTCTTCTGAAAATGTGGATTTATGCCAATATCTGCTATTAAAGATCTTTTGAAGAAGTGGGAGGATGTCAGAACAACAGTCTTAAAATGGCATCCAAACCAGGTTGAGATTAATAAGCCTAGAGATCTCTACAATTACAATGCTGTTAATTACTTCTGAAAAATCATGAAGAAGACAGAAAAGCAATCAACATTGGACAGATTCTTTAACCCCCACAAACAGAAAAAACATGACTAATAAAAATGCAAGACCGTGTATACAGGTATACCTCGCCTTACGTCGTTAATTGGTTCCAGGAAAACGATGTAAGTCGAAAAACGACGTAAGTCGAATTTACCTGTCTCCGAATCTACTTATCACTAGGAAAGCATTTTAAATAATATATGGTTAATAAAAATCTATTTTAAGCTTACAAACAAATAAATTTTAGTTTTTAATATAGTACAAAAAAAGTAATCTAAATTTACGAATGCGTGTACTGTAAATACAGTACATACTTGTATATATTTTAATATGATTTTATGTGCTTTAAACGTTTATCTAGTGATATTACGACTTCAATATTTGTGGCGGACAGACGTAAAGTCGAATAAAATGACTTAAACTTGATTTTTATTTTTCCATATACTTTTTTAACAAGCGACGTATAATCGGGAACGACGTAACTCGAAACCGACGTAAGTCGAGTTTTTATTTTTCCATATACTTTTTTAACAAGCGACGTATAATCGGGAACGACGTAACTCGAAACCGACATAAGTCGAGGTATGCCTGTATATGTATTCTTATCATTACGTATAAATAAACATAGTAAGAAAGTATATATTTTTTATTTTTTGGGGGTCTCCAGAATGAATTAATCAAATTCCCATAGAAACCTATGGTAAATCGATAATCGGTTAATGAACAAAGTCTTGGAACGGATTATGTTCATTAACCGATCACCCACTGTACAAAAATTTGAGAAAATGCACAGTTATTGGTTTTTTGGATGTAACTTTTTTTTATATATATCGTGGTGTGGTGTTGACGTTTCATTTGAAAATGTCCCTTTTCAAACTCCCGGTTTTCATATGACAAAACAAGACTGAACTCAATAGGTGGTAAATAAACTGTTAAAACTTAAGTCACAACTAATACAATAAAGATGATTGATTGACAAGTTACATGTGAGTCAAATAATAATAAATATTTTAGTGTCAGCAGATAAATGCAGTATTCTTGAAATAAAAACTGACTTAAAACTAAGTCTGTCTGAAAAGCATATCTTTTATATCTTTTACAATTGTTTTACATAATGGCCAATTTTCAAAAATTTACTCAAATAAATGCTTAATCCTATATGCAATAAGCTGCTCAATATTTATTTAAGAAATATATAAAAAATATTTAAGAAACGATAACGACTGATTGGATCAAAATAATATCCCAGGTGTATATTCTATCCCTATTTACAATCATAGGGTGAACCGTCCTGGCAAATATATTGGATATTGGTGCTACCGCATGTTGTCTTAAAACAAGGAACATAAATACTCCATTCAAAAAGGTCTTTCCACTACAGCATTGGCTTCTTATGCCATTGATAATGACATCAGGGTGGACTTTGATAATGCACAATTACAACAACAGTGTGAGGACCAGGCCAGCCTAAAATATCTCAAACAGATGGAGATATTTAAAGCATTCAAGAGGGGAACAGCCATCAATTTTAAAGAAATGGACTTGCTGGCAGCTGCCTGGAGGGTGTATTTTGATGTAAAATAGACTGTCATCAAGTTTATCTTTATAATTTATATAAACATTGAATTTTTAAAATAGGAAGCCCGTTCAAAGACTCATTTTTTAAAGAGCTACATTGAGCATGCACATATCTTCAAGATGTGCAATTTTTGAATTTTTGGAAGATGCATTCTTTTACAAACATTCCAAAGCATAGAAACATGATGATGACCGTTAAAGACGGTAGAAAACATTCGTTTATAAGAGAATTAATGCTGGTTATAGTAATTGCTTATATATTGAATTCTACACCAATAATATCATGATGATTACAAGCTTAGGATTAATTTAAATTTTGCTTTATTTAAGATTGGCCTTAAAACTAAATTAAACAATGCAAACTTAAGATATATTTATTTCTACAGTATAAATTTTTTAAAAAATTTATTTGGAAGGGGGAAAAACTATTTTGCATTTACATACAATGCTCTTATACAAGTTTGTTTCTAATAATTCTTATCTGCAAACTGTTTATGGAGAATACAATGTAAGCAGAAAAAATGAAAGTCTGTAGACAACTTTTAAAAGATTGTCACATATTTCACCTTCTTATTCACTATTGCAAATTTAATTAACTTTCTGTGTGATAATATTATAAGTATAAAACCAATTAACAATATAACTGATATCATCTTTGATAAATTTTCACCTTCCAGAAAAATTATAAGATTTATAGGCTCAATTAAATTCATAAATATACACGACCATTGAAACCCAATACCTTAAGCCCAATCATTTACAACTGTTGTAGATCAATTAAATTCATTCATAACTTTACAAATATCCTTATGATGTAAATATTCACCTAGGTAGCCCCAATGGCAGAACCTCCGTTAATGGGTGCCAGTCATTTTCACTACTTTTTTTAGTGAAATCAATGTTTTATTTTGTATTTTTTACATAAATCACACCACCCCCACAATTGTCAACCCTTAGCGTGACATTCGTCTCCGAAAGTCAGTTTTTAACATGTATCAATCTACCACTATTCTACATGCTTCACACATAGACATATGCCTCAGTGCTAGCTATTACTAACACCTCAGCACCCAAGTGGGGGCTTGCCCCACCCCCTAAAACTACATAGCATCAAGTACTCCACGAACAGTCAAGTGGGCTAAATTATTAAACACGATACCACCATTAGGGCTACCTAGGTGAACATCTACTCATTATATTATTATTCAGAAAAATATAAAATGAATATTTTTTGTTTCCTCATTAATACAACCCAACATTACCAAATTTCTAAATATATTAATTATTTTCAACCTCAGAAAACAACATAAAAGAAAAGTTTAAAGCTTAAATCAATTACTTTAAACATTTCAAAGAAGATTAAATATTCATTTTCATCCTCCTTTCATACATATAATGAAAACTTTAAAATACAGTATTGATTTTAAAGACTTAGCTAAAAGTCAAACGCCAATAGAAACGTATGTTTTTTTTTTTTTTAAATTAACAACAGGAAAAATAATGAAAAAAATCGATAAATTGTACATTTTGGTGTCGTATCAAACGATAAAATTAAATTTCGCACGAAATACAACTGCCATCAAAATAGTAATTTGAACGAAGGAAAACAATTGTACATTTTCAATTTCCGTCAATATTTTAAAATTTTTAACCGACTTCAAAAGCTTACAAATGCTATCGGCTTCTGGAATGTCTTAAATTAAAATTAATAACATGATGTCGTTTTGTTTTTTTTTTTTTAATCTAGTGAAAACTACCATTTAACTCTTTACCTTGATCCTGGTTAAAGCCAGCGTATAACAATCCATTTCCGTACGGGTTTGATAAACCCAAGTTCATGATTAACTACGCTATTATACAAATTCACAAATAAATTGGATTTTTAATATTATAAACAACAGTCTAGCATTTCGCATCAAACAAGTCCGCCATCACTGCCCCCAAACCTCTCGTGACAATAGCGTTGCCAGATGTGCTGAAAGTAAGAATCTTCTGTCACTAACTTAATTTTTTTTTTCGCAATATTTCACATATTTTCAACTAAATCAATTGTGTTTATGTTTTAAGTCGCGATAAAAGTATTAAAATTACAAAATTACTACAAATTGCTAAATTGGAAGTTGCAAAAATAAAAATCGTAATTGTAATGTTTCGTGTTTTTTATTTGAATTACGTCAGAAGCGTATCTTCTAAAAGAAGAATGAACAAAATCAATAATGGATTTTTAAAATAATTTATAATTTAAAAAATAAATAATAATTCGAAAATATAAAAATAGTATCGGAATTTTAGTCGGAGACAGAAATGTCTGAGCTAAACTATTATTCTTGAGAAGCTCGGCTTTAAATTTTGTTCGGTCCCTTAGGGGCCGTTCATAAATTACGTAAGGGCAATTTCGGCCATTCTAGACCCCACCCACCCATGTGTAAGAAACCGTAATATTTTCTTTGATCCCCCCTTCCCTAACTTACGTAATACTCGTATTTAGGTATGACTTTTTAGAAAGATTTTAACAACAAAGATTTTTATGAAACCCTAAAAATCTTAGGTCCAAAATATATAATTATTAATTAGTTAATTAATATGTACTATTATTTATAAAAGACTTTATGTGAACAAATATAAAAATATAAAAATTTAATGAATTCGAATGAACAATTTATTTTAAGAACTTTATTTTTTACTTATTAACAATCTTTTCATTAGTATTATCATTAATCAACGTCATAATATTCACTTTTATATTAATTTTAATTTTCACGAAAGGACGCAAAAAATTTTGACAGATCGACTAACTAGTACAGGTGTAAACAGAAACGTCATACAAAACAAAACAAAAGAGAAGAGAGAAAAACCACCACACGGCCTTTCTCCCATAATAAAAAATGTGTAGAGCGTGAATCTGCTAGCGTTATTATTCTATCACGTCACACAAGATGGCATTGGTACTGTACAACAAGCGTTCTTAATAGAAACTGTCAAATTGAAGCTAAATTCAAAATTCCACCACTCAACGAGATCAAAAAATAAAACTAAGAATATTGCGTAAGACGAGATCTATCACTCCCTACCCCTGAGTAAGAAATCGTAAGAAATCCTTGACACCCACCCACCCCAAAATACCTTACGTAATTTATGGACGGCCCCTTATATAGTTGGATGATCGGGACAGTGAGGCCGGATGACCAAGCGGTTAATTTAAGGTGGCAGCCTAAGGTTCTGGGGGATCCGGAATCGAAACCGGACGGATCGAAAAATCCCCAAGAATTTTTCGGGAAGGTTGATTCGTCCGGATATGTCGAGTTCCGTTTCTCACCATCCGGTCACCCCATTGTGGGCCAGGCCGTGTGGACCAGGCTGAACCTATAATAGGCTTTCTAAAAGAGGTCCCCTTAGTGCCCATAGGGCGAAAAGAATTTAAAAAAAAAAAACAAAAAAACACTGATGGGGTGCGCAACAGGCTTATGTTTGTGAGGGTAGATGGCGTATGCAAGTACAACACTTGCAGACACCTACAGTCTACAATTCTTACCTGACTGTTTTTAATACAGATTGGAATATTTTTGGGTAGAAATAAATAAATTAGGACGTTGTGGGGGAAATTTTACAATCGGAACAAAGTATTCAAAATTGGAGAAATTCCGAAAAATCGGAAAGTAGGCTTATGTAATTTAATGATTTTGACCCTTGTCACAATCATTAGATTACATAAAGCTTCCTTTTGAGAGAAGACAATATTCCGAAACTTGTGTAAATATGAACTTGGAGTTCACTCAAAGGCGTTTACTACTCAGAGGACGATCAGAAACTACTTTTCTTTTGTCATAAATAATCAATTTTCCACGTAATACGTGCAATAATTTGTGGCGTAGTAAACACTAGTATTGTGTTTTATTCTAAAGACACATGGCAAATTTTTCATCAAATTCCTTTATTAGTTGAGTCGATACGGTACATTGTTTTGTACTCGTTTCGGGCTTTGCTCCTCTTCAGTCAACTAAAATAAAATATATATATATTGTTAATATAATAAAACACAATACTAGTGTTTACTACGCCACAAATATAAAACAGGACACAGTTTCAAAAAGAAAATCAACGTGCAATAATAGCTTCCTTTTCTCTGCCAGACAATTTTCTTTCTTTGCTGATTTATACTTTGCAAACATGCGCATTACAGATACGAGTTCATTTTCAGTGGCTGCCCATTTCTGCAAAATTTCCATCATTTTATCACAGTGGATAAAATACTATAAAATACAAAAGGATTTCTTTATACAGTATATCTTTTATTATTCTGTCGAAAAGTTCCTGTAACTTTCTCATCGCCTCAGTCTCATAATCAAGATTAAAGCTATCTTTAAGATTACGGTTATTTTGGATGGCGAACGATTATTAATATTCTATCTCGACAATAGAGTAGACAGGCGACAAATCGAAAGAAATGGAAAAAGATTAGAGAAAGAAGAACTTTGCGGCAAACAGATTAACAATAAAAACATACTCGAACGTAATTTAAATCTAACAAACAATATGCTTTCAATATTCGTATTTATTCATATTTTATCTCGATACTTCAAAATCATTTTAATTTCTTTTACCACAAAACTTTATTAAATAAAACACAAAAGTGATATAGTACGGCCTTTTTTTTGTAATAATAAATTTTTAAAATAAATTTTTAATTTAATGTCATCTTACTATACAGGGGGATACGTACCGAATTAATCTCGACTCCGAAAGCAAAGTCAAGTTTACGTCGTCTGCCCGAAAGATGTTGAGAACGAGGATAGGGATTGTGTGCTCTAGTTATGGCGTCGACCTGTAAGTATTTTGATGAAGATGCCGTGTTCAGAGTCAATAGAAGGGGACTTATAGATTTTGGATTAGTGATTGAAAATTCAGAGTTTATCAGCAGCGACGAGGAGGACTTAGATGAAGTAGAATTGCCAGAATGGGAACGAATGAAGAGAGGGCACGTTCGAGTTGCTTGGCATCCCAAGGGCCAAGAGGAAGTTCTTCCAGAAAAGAAGGTTTGATCAGTTTTTTTTTCTATTATGTTTAAATAGTAAATTCATACATAATAATAATAATATAAAAAATCTCGTTCGAATTTATTCGCAGTTCTAAAATGCATCATTGGAACGCGAAGGTAGCCGATGAATGATAAATAGATGTTTTCTTTTAAACTGCAAATTTAATTGTAAAATCAAACTTAAAATGAATAAATATTATTAGAACAAAATATGTTTGCATTTATGCGACGAAAAATAAGCATGTTTAAGTGCTTATTTATTTGCTTTCAATTTCACAATACAATTTGGTGTTCATTTTTAGTGTTAACTTTGTTTTGTAATGGCTTTGCCTTTTAAAAAAGGAACAAGATAAATTACATTTTAGTGTAAGAAGTAGAATAACAAGTATCGAATGACTGCGGCTTTCGGCTTTCACAAACAATTAAAATAGGAAATTGTATGCGACAAGATTAAATTTATTTTTGATTTCTAGTATTCTGAATTTTCACAAAGCTGGTTATAGACTATTAAATAACACCATAAAATCTTCAAAAAAATATCAACACAAAAGTAAATAAATTTTTACAACCTATTTTCTTTTTTAATATATTTTCGTGCCAGTATTTTTATTTTTTTGTTTTGGAAGGTTTTATGATGTTATTTAATAATTTCTATTATTAATGAGTTGCGGCCGAAGTTTTCACCTCTAAAACTTCGGTTTCAACTTTGCTATTCTTTATAAAAAAAAAATCATATAAATACAAAATATTAAAGACTTATATGAATACTTATTCAGATAAGTCTTTAATATTTTGTATTTTTACAATTTGTTTTATAAAAATATATTTCCTTCTGGATACTTTATAATTTTTTCTTCTAGTATTCAATTTGTTGTGAATATAAAGTGAAATGCATAAAAACTTTTAATTTATCAGCATTTTTTGTGTTAGAAAGTCGAATTTTCTTTAATTTTTTCAATAAAGTTTAATAATAAATCTATTAGATTTGGATAATATTTTTTAAGATTGATTATTATATTAAATATCTAATGTAATGTGTAATTCCAGTCTTGAGAGCAAATGTGTCAAGAAATTTAAAATAGTAAGATATGAACTCTCTTATATTCTTGTAATGTTTGTTTAAAATTATATTTCTTTATCGTTAATTAAAAGGTGTTTTATTAATTTAGCTTCAATATAGCTGTATATTTATATTTGCATTATGACTTTATTCTGTATTATAATTGTTGTTCAAATTTTGAAAGAAAAAATTACCATATAAACATACATACATACGAAATGAAGCAGTAATTAGGATGTTACAATTTTTATTACATTATTATATACTCTCTGATAAATTGGAAATATTTCAAATTGTAAATTTAATGAATTATTTTCTAATTTTTTAATTGTTTTTGTAGTTTATACATAATTTTTATCAGTTTTTGTTTATTAAATTTTATTAGTGTTAGAATATTATTTTTATGTTGCAAATATTTACATTGGTTGTATTTAATATATTATGATAATTTTAACATATCACTATTAGTATTTCATTCATAAGATATATGTAAAACCTTATTATTTTGAATTCTTTTTCTTTGTCTATATGAAAATAAATACTGAAATAGTATTGAGTTTTTAAAATTATTAGCTGAGAGTGAATCAAAAAAATGTTCAAAAACATTTAATAAAATTTATGAACTGATAAATACTGTATTTACTGATTCAAGAGAAAATTTCACAAAGAAGGTGTTAAAGAACATTTAAAAAATGTTTTAATATCCTGCAAGTGCATTCAACGTATTTATAAATGCCATCATCAGGCAGAAAGATTTTCAAACAAGTTTTTAAAATTGGAACAAAAACAGTATTAGCTGCTTAGAACATTACAAGTTTAAAGATAAAGAATTAGATTTAAAATATGCATAACAGTATCACGTATGCGCCTTACTGCGCAGAGAACAAGAACAACATTAGCCATTTAGAACATAATACAAAACTTATAATTTAAATTTGCATAACATCATTGCACATGTGTCTTAAAATGCAGGAAATAGGAATGGCAATTAGCTGTTTTTAACAAAAGATTTAAAAATAATGAAATATCGTGCATGCACCTTACTGTGCAGAGAAAGTAGGGGTTAATATCAGAAAGAAGTTTTCTGTATCATGCCATGCCGAAAGAATGTCATCCACGTACCTCAAGTATATCAAGGGGTTAGCTATTGCCTCTCACAATAGCTTGATAGCTATTGTGAGAGGGAATCTAAAGACCCTGTGTTCAAGACGTCTCATGATCAGTTCCTCTAATATAGCACACAGTGGTGAGCTCATTGGTACACCCTGTTTTTGCAGGTATATCTTCCCATTGAAGTAGAAGTAATTGTGCTCTGTGATGAAGAGTAAGGCTTCCTGAATCTCTAAAACCTTTTGTGCAGTGAAGCTCTCCTTGATAAGTAAAGTGTTGTCATGCATCACCACCTCAAAATGCAGTACAGAGGATATATTGTGACTACATCCATTTTATAGAATGTATACTTATCGGGGGACAAACCACCTAGGGTAGTAGATAATGTTGTCTTAGCCACAATGGAAAAGGATGTGACTTGGGAGGAGGAGGGAAGAAGCCCACCAAGCAGCTTAGCAAGTGCTTTTTCGAGAAAGTAAGTGGGATGGGATCTATTGTTAACCAATGGCCTCAACGGCCAACCCTCTTTGGTGTTTTGGCCTCAAAGAAAAGTCTGGGGCAAGCAACATTGGATGGGGGTCCAAGCATCCAGAAAGGATGGCAATTACACCTGGGAGAGTCACAATTTTCCTTATCTTAACAACATGAATGGGGTTGTGTCCTCCATAAGATTATGACATGCGATTGATTGAGGAAGTCAGTGGTCCTGCATAGAAAGTCTTCTTCCCTGCATAAGACAAATTTCTTATCTTTGTCCAAAATTAGGAGTCTCATGTTGGATGTTGACAAGTAATGCCTTATGGAATGGTCACAAAGACAGCTTTTAGCACGAACAGAAGTTTGTCTCAGCAAGGCAAGCTTTGAGATGACCAAAAGCTCCATTTGTGGGAATCTAGTTGCCGCTTGGCAGCTCTCGAGCACTGCCATGGCTGCCAGGACTGTTTCAGAGACACTCATGTTTTGAGGAATGTAGTTGGATCCCTGTTGCAATATCTTGGCGATTCAGATAGCCTCCCCTGTGTAGTTGTGGAACGGGATTGGTTGCACTGGAATTTGTTGTTTGCGTGCATCACCTGAATTTCTTGTTTAATTTAGCCCTTACCTCTTGGGCAAACCTCAATGCAATACTGTGCAGTTTTCCAAGTTGATTGTAGAGTCAGGATAGGTCACAGGCTTTGGCAAAGTGCAAGTGTACATTTCACTTTGATTAACTTCGAGAGCAGGGATTTTTCCATACATTTCAAAGCACCTCGTAGACAGTTCTGTCCTGAATCTCAAGACATTGTGACTTTAAAAGTCAAAATAAAGAAAATTAGATTTATTAACATAACTGTAATTTTATTTCATTTAATCACAAATAAAATATCAAATTTCTGCAAATATACACATTGTCCTGCAAAAATTACTGTCATTTTAAACTTTAAGGAAAAATCTTGTAAAATTGACATAATTTGTTCATGTAAAGCTGGACAATAAGGAACCTTTTTTGCCAATTTTTAAGTCAAATCCACTCTCCATCGATTACACTTAAGAGTTTCTCCAAATTCTGATTTCCGAATAATCATGTTTTCACGTGGGAATGGATTAAAACTTATATCGGGCTCCCGTGTGATTTTGGAATTTCAATTTGAAATTGAATTCAAAAGCTTTGCTTTTCCTATTGCTATTCATCTTTATTTCTAACCATACACAAAAACAATTCAAATGACTCACATAAAATANCTATAGATACACACCTCAGATGGTCATAGAAAATAACACACAAAATATATTATGATTGAGCCACATTCATTGACAAACAAAACAAAATCACATGCATCATAGATAGAGCTCTACCAAATACTCACAACATACAAAAATACATACACTGGAAAAATTAATAAATACTCAGAACTCGTCCACAAAATAAAGTGCCTGCAAAGAATGGATAAGATACTTGTTCTTGTAGTACGTTTTTGCACATACATCATACCACATATATTACACAAAGTCTGGAAACATTAGGGCTTTACAATACCACATACATCACATTACAGAAAGCTGCCATACTAAACATGTCATATAGGAAATTCTTCAACACAGATACATACATGAACAGCATATAAACAAAACATTTTTTTTTCTGTAGTTATTTCTTAATTTTTCTGGCTTACAAGTTAGTATTAGTGCATATGCTTTGTAGGAAACACTCCACCAACATTACAGTAATAATAATAAAATAAAATATTAATATAAACTCAGAAAAAAATTAAATAGAAAATAATTTTAAGGTCCATAATATCCCACAATTGGATTCAAGTTGATCACGTAATTGTTATTTGCTATGGATAATTCAGAGCTTAGTTCAGATAGACATTTGCTTTTGAAAGCAAAAGCAGAATGCAAAAAAAGATTGCATTTTTGCATAGTGAATTTGAATCTTGCTGCTATTTTACAAAATAACAGCAGAATGAGCAAACATATTTGATCCACAGCAAAATGGTAAATTGTTTATGATTCCTTCATCTATTCATTTACTGAAAAGAAAATTTTAGAATTATAATAATTATAAGAATATAAATAGAAAGTATATTCTTAGCTGCAGTGTTTAAATTTTTCTTTCTTACCTTTTAGAAATATGTCATTTTGACTAGTGAATAATAAGCTTTAAATATTAACTTAATCAGTAAGCATCTTTGTGTATTTGAAATAAAAATTAAAATATACTTTAACTTTCTACTAAAATGTTTTGTTTTTGTACTTATTAAAAGCAAAAGATCATAATTTATAATGTAAGCTATAATGTTATCAAAATTTATCTTTCCTCTGGCTAAAAATAATTTGTTTTT